CGTATCACATATTGTAATATGTGTCAAGATAACCCGTATCACAGATTATAATGTTAATTGAGATAACCCGTATCACACGTTGTAATGTTTATTGAGATAACCCGTATCACTGGTTGTGATAAATATTGAGCTGACTCCAATTCCTAGTAAATTTCGTTGCCCTGAAACTTATCATGGAATTGTTCGATAAGAAAGAAAATATGATCACCCTTAAAGAAATCTACCTGTTCAATGAATCTCTTTTTCTTTAATTTACAGATATTCTATTGACGATAGAAACATTTAATTGGCAAAGAGATAGCAGGGGAATTTGAAGAGTACGAGCTGTAACACAAGGACCATTAACCATGGCGGCTGCAAAACAACTAAATCTGGTAAATAGGTTTTTATTGAAAGCGAAAATATCGTTCATTGCTGTTTGTGTTCTGGTGACCAAGATATGGATTTTTTAAAAATATAATGTAACGCACAATGTTGGACTGGCTAAGATTTACTTGTTATGTGTTATCGATGAAGCAAATGACGCTTCCGAAACGCTTGGTCTTATTTTCTTTGTATTTATCGGATGCCTTCTTATAAATCGTTTCATATGTGTTTTGCCCTAGTTTTATCAAATTTGAATTTTAATCAATATTCTGTTGAAATGTCAAAATGTCGGGATCTTTCTACTTTAGTTTATCATTATAATGCTGTTCAAGTGGAGTCAGTGATTGATTTTACAATGTTATTGTCTATACGCTACATGATAAAGGAATATACAAAAGGCACACAAGTAAACATTTCTACATAAGTCTAGCTAAGATTCAGTAGAAGACGCTTGCCCTTCCGGAACACTTCTCCGTATTATTTTGTTTAGCTTTCTTTTGTTTTCGTTTTGCCATATTTTCCTCTAATTTAGTGTTCGAATTAAAATGATGTAAAATATATATTTACGCGGTGTATTAACTATTATAATGTAATAACAATATCCAGTTATTCATTCCCAAATTGTTTCTGCTTAAAGCTGATTATCTAACGAGTGGATCATTTTTATAACACTTAAAAAAATGTAGCCAAATCATTACCTCTGTTTTACTCCTGAAATTTTATACAGGTTTTATAAAAGAAATCGTTTTTCTCAACACGCATCCTGATAACAATTTTTACGCAAAGATATTCTAATTCAATATATTTCAATTTACCCTCTGAAAAATTTATATGTTCATTTTACAGTTAAAAAAGATAAGAAACATAATGTAATCATCAAGTTTAAACTCACAATATAATACAACTTACCAAACGTCAGTGAAAACAAAAACAGTTCGCTACAGTATATTGAAAGTTTTAGTCAGATATCATTGAACCGTATCATTTAGTACATATTATTGTCGGCTAATAAATACACTACGTTATTGTTCCCATCAAAAGCACACTGTTGTAATGATACTAAACAAATCAATAATGCATTTTCTTTTCACTCACTACATCGTGACCGCCTGTTAATAAGGAGAGGACGTACCGGGTGTAAACGCCAGGTAACCAATCACCACAAACGCAGTATCCATTTCTTATTGACGTAAACAAATTATTTACTGGACCGCAAACTCTCGTTTACCTTAGCCTAGTCCGCGTGGATCAAAGGTACACTGGTAAACAAGTGTTAATACCTGAGGATTTACACCCTCAGTGTTTAATATCGGCCGGGTGTGATACGTCATCGACTTTAAAACCGTCATTCCCTTATCGTGATTGTCGCCTCCCCGCCTCGCTCTCGTCACTGTGTTAAATACATATTGCAACTTCCTCACAAAGTTCTGTTTGTTTTTTCTTTTTAATTATTTCCGCATCAATGACTATTGACTAATTTACTATTAGAAGTTGATGTCAACAAACAGCTCCAATATTCCCGACATAAAAGGCTCTTGTTTTCAACAAATGCGTATGGATATTAAGCCTTCCAACTTGGGGGCCCCTGTTACTACCGCCTCATAATCACACCCCCGTGTAGGGTCACTGTGGGGGATCTAAGAAAGTGCTCTTCATTAATATTACAATTATCATTGTTTGGTGGCAAGTCATGTGCTGGGGCCTACTATAAATGAACGAGGAATGGATGAGATTTTCAGTTTGGTTTGGTTGGCTTTTAGTAGATGTCGTGGATTTCCAATACGTTCGTCTCTGATATGTGAACATGAGTTTTATCTATTTCTTTATTTTATTTATTTGTTTTACACTTTTCGGAAATACAGTGTTCAGTAAAGGTGATAACTGGAACAATGTCACAGTGTTCATCATTAAACATTTTGTGATATAACAATCGAGATCCTAGGGATACTTTAAAAATATCTACACATCATCTTCACGACAACCAGTTCCAAAATGATGTATTTTAGAGGAAAAAGGAAAGTGGTGGAAAACCCTGTCGGCCATTTTGAACATATTACTCCTCAGATGAAAGCCGCCCTGAACAAGGTAAGCCGAGGACTAAAGTTATTCGGAAATCCATCAATGCATTTTACTTCAGTGTCCGATTCTTCTAGATATGGTTTCCAGAAATAAAATCTCGAATTCCGAAAACCTTTATCACACGTTTTCGTTAAGCCTTTTATAGATGCATAATGACACTGATCTCGCCGATGAATTCCTCGACAAAGCGATGCCGATAGCTACATATTAGAACTTTATTTAACGGACACAGAGGTATGTCAAAGTTGGCACGATAGCAAAAGACGCTCTGTATTTCACAGATCACCCATGAAGTTTCTTTGTATTCGAAAATAAATTCATTATAGAAGCATGGCGGTAATTGTGAATTAGGTTTTTCTGAATTTCGAAAATATTTCAGTAAGAAAACAACATAGGAAATCGATAAACATTTAGACACTAACCTAGATAACATCTGTATGTATTGTGTTACAAGTGTGTACATGGAATTTTATCAACTCTTGATTAATATTATGGAACTTTTAGAGTATGTTTGTATCTGAGGATTAAAATAAACAATGTAAAAAACACAAAACATATTGACTGTTAACACTACAGAAGACATATTACATTTAGATACTAAATATGTCAGTGGTGTTTAGTTATTGAGAGGAAGCTGAAATATTAATGTTTAGTTTTTTGGGTTTTTGGTTGACAGGTGGTCTCCTCGACCCCTCACGTTGGTAAGACGATGCCCGAGTTTAGGTACACATGATTACATACACACTAAAGGTTCCATTGTTTTCCCTTTTGATATTATCTTAATGTTGATTCGATTCTCTTTGTCGAGGCACACTGCCTCCAGAAAATATTCTCTGTACATATAGAAATACTGTAAATTCATTCAACTTCTTTGATGTCAACGAATCTACACACCCTCGAATATCGTTATCAAATAATATATTACACCGGTCTATATAGAAAATCACATACGCTGAACAATCCCTTTGTGAGGAAATCAAACATTTCTTTAATTAATAATATTTGGCAATTTCACTTCGTCCAACCCTTGCGTACTTTTCTTTGTGTGTTTATCTAATTGGGAGAACTTATTCAATTCTTTTCTCGTGTTTCATTCCAAGCTTCGGGTGAATGAAAGTAGTTTAAGAAAACAAACGACTTTAGACTAAATACGAGTGTTTGCAAACAGTCTACATGGTTGTGCAATTGATGACACGGAGTTAAGCGTCCCTTCATAGATGACACATCACATGTAATGATTTCATGAGGGTGTTTGGTACTCGAAAGTCTGTTGTGTTTACATTAGTTTTCTCTGCTCCCTGAGTAACCCGGTTGGACACCATAGCTGTCGTCGGAGACACGAAAGTACATATCAAAGAGCTTAAATGGTATTTACATGTCATATATTTTTCTCATCTATCATGATAACACAATTTTTAAAAAGTAGAAGTCTGCTTCTAGTCATTCTAAAATCTGCCACGAAAAACTGTGTAATGAATGTCTTTAAAACAATTTTATAATTTTGATATTACGTTTGCCAAACTAACCAGTCATCGAACGGTCGTGATGTGACCGACTCGAATTGTCAGATCACGTGTCACTGTATGTCTACTGAACTTAGATGATCCGTTATTACGGCAGGAGGTGTTAGGACCTTTCACAGCCAAAACTGCATTCATCACATTATTACTCTTAACGTTCACGTTGATACAAACATGCTGAGCTAAAGAGGATACGAATCGGGCTGTAAGGACCAGCCATGAAGGAGGGACATGTGGGGATTTATAAGTAGAGGTAGCAACACGGGATAAGGTATTTGTGCGTTGCTTGGATGGACAACTTCTGAGATGGCTGGAATATGTGTCCTTAGTGATAGATAATTACTTTACACTAGATTTCCATCAACGGAGAAAAAGAAGACAACAGGTCTCGTCAGACGATTGTTGCCTGGATGCTTGTCGGACAGTGATCGAGTGTTTTGAACTCGCTTAAGAACTGCCTGTAGTGATGTACTGTGGTATGCTTCCTTGAAGTTGTTCGAACCGATGTGCTGAAATCGGTTTGAAGTGTACTATCAACAATATCTATTATCATATAACATTTTATAGGAATGTTTCTGTATTGAGATTTTCAACATTTCGCTCTATTATCAATTAATACAACACTGTATGATGCTGTTTACATTTAAGCATTTTAAAACAAAAAATGAAAAATACGAAATCTAATTCTAGCCGACACTTTTTAGAAATAGCATGCTTCTATTACACCCAAAAATTGTGTTCCATTAAACATTCTATGAATGGAAACAAGATGCATAATCAGATATATTTACGTGGAGAAAACATCAAAGCTCTTTGATATACAGAATGTTGCTTTGTAATGAGTGTGTTGTAACGCTTTGGTCAGACAGGGTTCTAACTAAGTAATAACATCGGATACATCACAAAAATAAACGGACGAAAAATAAACTTGATTTATACATCGTTGCAAAATCTACTTGAGAATTTGATACGAAAATACCGTGATCGAATTTAACATTGTTAGAGGAAGCAATTAATCTATCCCATTCGATCAAAATGGTGATATTGGAAATCCAGAAGAAACGTTGTCGTGCTGGAACAACAAGAGTCGTGGGCACTTTTGACATTGCTGTAGCTAAGGTAGGCACGTAATGTAGCAGGAAACAGTATATTTGTATTTTTCTGTAGGTACCTCCATGTATTGTCTGGTTCATGGTTACCGGTAGGAGTGGTACCTCCTTGTATTGTTATGTTCATGGTAACCGGGAGGAGTGGTACCTCCTTGTATTGTCAGGTTCATGGTTACCGGTAGGAGTGGTACCTCCTTGTATTGTCAGGTTCATGGTAACCGGGAGGAGTGGTACCTCCTTGTATTGTCAGGTTCATGGTTACCGGTAGGAGTGGTACCTCCTTGTATTGTCAGGTTCATGGTAACCGGGAGGAGTGGTACCTCCTTGTATTGTCAGGTTCATGGTTACCGGGAGGAGTGGTACCTTCTTGTATTGTCAGGTTCATGGTTACCGGGAGGAGGAGTGGTACCTCCTTCTATTGTCAGGTTCATGGTTACCGGGAGGAGTGGTACCGCCTTGTATTGTCAGGTTCATGGTTACCGGGAGGAGTGCTACCTCCTTCTATTGTCTTGTTCATGGTTACCGGGAGGAGGAGTGGTGCCTCCTTGTATTGTCAGGTTCATGGTTACCGGGAGGAGTGGTACCTTCTTGTATTGACAGGCGCATGGTAACCGGTAGGAGTGGTACCTCCTTGTATTGTCAGGTTCATTGTTACCGGGAGGAGTGGTACCTCCTTTTATTGTCAGGTTCATGGTTACCGGGAGGAGTGGTACCTTCTTGTATTGACAGGCGCATGGTAACCGGTAGGAGTGGTACCTCCTTGTATTGTCAGGTTCATTGTTACCGGGAGGAGTGGTACATCCTTTTATTGTCAGGTTCATGGTTACCGGGAGGAGTGGTACCTTCTTGTATTGACAGGCGCATGGTAACCGGTAGGAGTGGTACCTCCTTGTATTGTCAGGTTCATTGTTACCGGGAGGAGTGGTACATCCTTTTATTGTCAGGTTCATGGTTACCGGGAGGAGTGGTACCTCCATGTATTGTCAGGTTCATGGTTACCGGTAGGAGTGGTACCTCCTTCTATTGTCAGTTTCATGGTTACCGGTAAGTTTGGTACCTCCATGTATTGTCAGGTTCATGTTTACCGGTAGGAGTGGTACATCCTTCTATTGTCAGTTTCATGGTTACCGGTAAGTTTGGTACCTCCTTGTATTGTCAGGTTCATGGTTACCGGTAGGAGTGGTACCTCCTTCTATTGTCAGTTTCATGGTTACCGGTAAGTTTGGTACCTCCTTGTATTTTCTGGTTCATGGTAACCGGGAGGAGTGGTACCTCCTTGTATTGTCAGGTTCATGGTTACCGGGAGGAGTGGTAACCTCCTTGCATTGTCAGGTTCATGGTAACCGTGAGGAGTGGTATCTCCTTGTATTGTCAGTTTCATGGTTACCGGTAAGTTTGGTACCTCCTTGTATTGTCAGGTTCATGGTTACCGGTAGGAGTGGTACCTCCTTCTATTGTCAGTTTCATGGTTACCGGTAAGTTTGGTACCTCCTTGTATTTTCTGGTTCATGGTAACCGGGAGGAGTGGTACCTCCTTGTATTGTCAGGTTCATGGTTACCGGGAGGAGTGGTACCTCCTTGCATTGTCAGGTTCATGGTAACCGTGAGGAGTGGTATCTCCTTGTATTGTCAGGTTCATGGTAACCAGGAGGAGTGGTACCTCCTTGTATTGTCAGGTTCATGGTTACCGGGAGGAGTGGTACCTCCTTGCATTGTCAGGTTCATGGTAACCGTGAGGAGTGGTGCCTCCTTGTATTGTCAGGTTCATGGTTACCGGGAGGAGTGGTACCTTCTTGTATTGTCAGGTTCATGGTTACCGGTAGGAGTGGTACCTCCTTCTATTGTCAGTTTCATGGTTACCGGTAAGTTTGGTACCTCCATGTATTGTCTGGTTCATGATTACCGGTAGGAGTGGTACTTCCTTGTATTGTCAGGTTCATGGTAACCGGGAGGAGTGGTACCTCCTTGTATTGTCAGGTTCATGGTTACCGGGAGGAGTGGTACCTCCTTGCATTGTCAGGTTCATGGTAACCGTGTGGAGTGGTATCTCCTTGTATTGTCAGGTTCATGGTTACCGGGAGGAGTGGTACCTCCTTGTATTGTCTTGTTCATGGTTACCGGTAGGAGGAGTGGTACCTCCTTGTATTGTCAGGTTCATGGTAACCAGGAGGAGTGGTACCTCCTTGTATTTTCAGGTTTATGGTTACCGGAAGGAGTGGTACCTCCATGTATTGTCAGGCTCATGGTTACCGGGAGGAGTGGTACCTCCTTGTATTGTCAGGTTCATGGTTACCGGGAGGAGTGGTACCTCCTTGTATTGTCAGGTTCATGGTTACCGGGAAGAGTGGTACTTCCTTGTATTGTCAGGTTCATGGTTACAGGGAGGAGTGGTACTTCCTTGTATTGTCAGGTTCATGGTTACCGGGAGGAGTGGTACCTCCTTGTATTGTCTGGTTCATGGTTACCGGGAAGAGTGGTACTTCCTTGTATTGTCAGGTTCATGGTTACAGGGAGGAGTGGTACCTCCTTGTATTGTCAGGTTCATGGTTACCGGGAGGAGTGGTACCTCCTTGTATTGTCTGGTTCATGGTTACCGGGAAGAGTGGTACTTCCTTATATTGTCAGGTTCATGATAATCGGTAGAAGGAGTGGTACCTCAAATGTATTTTCTGTTTCATGGCTATTGGTAGGAGTGGTGCCTCCTTGTATTGTCAGGTTCATGGTTACCGGAAGGAGTGGTACCTCCTTGTATTGTCAGGCTCATGGATACCGGGAGGAGTGGTACTTCCTTGTATTGTCAGGTTCATGGTTACCGGGAGGTAAAGTGGTACCTCCGTGTATTGTCAGGTTCATGGTTACCGGGAGGAGTGGTACCTCCTTGTATTGTCAGGTTCATGGTAACCAGGAGGAGTGGTACCTCCTTGTATTTTCAGGTTTATGGTTACCGGAAGGAGTGGTACCTCCATGTATTGTCAGGCTCATGGTTACCGGGAGGAGTGGTACCTCCTTGTATTGTCAGGTTCATGGTTACCGGGAGGAGTGGTACCTCCTTGTATTGTCAGGTTCATGGTTACCGGGAAGAGTGGTACTTCCTTGTATTGTCAGCTCCATGGTTACAGGGAGGAGTGGTACCTCCTTGTATTGTCAGGTTCATGGTTACCGGGAGGAGTGGTACCTCCTTGTATTGTCTGGTTCATGGTTACCGGGAAGAGTGGTACTTCCTTGTATTGTCAGGTTCATGATAATCGGTAGAAGGAGTGGTACCTCAAATGTATTTTCTGTTTCATGGCTATTGGTAGGAGTGGTGCCTCCTTGTATTGTCAGGTTCATGGTTACCGGAAGGAGTGGTACCTCCTTGTATTGTCAGGCTCATGGATACCGGGAGGAGTGGTACTTCCTTGTATTGTCAGGTTCATGGTTACCGGGAGGAAAAGTGGTACCTCCGTGTATTGTCAGGTTCATGGTTACCGGGAGGAGTGGTACCTCCGTGTATTGTCAGGTTCATGGTTACCGGGAGGAGTGGTACCTCCATGTATTTTCTGGTTCATGGCTACCGGGAGGAGTGGTACCTCCTTGTATTGTCAGGTTCATGGTAACCGGGAGGAGTGGTACTTCCTTGTATTGTCTTGTTCATGGTTACCGGAAGGAGGAGTGTGCCTCCTTGTATTGTCAGGTTCATGGTTACCGGGAGGAAGAGTGGTACCTCCGTGTATTGTCAGGTTCATGGTTACCGGGAGGAGTGGTACCTCCCTGTATTGTCAGGTTCATGGTTACCGGGAGGAGTGGTACCTCCCTGTATTGTCAGGTTCATGGTTACCGGTATAAAGTAGTCTTTTCATAAGCTTTATTACACTTTTAATCTCTTAAAGTGAAATAGAAATAGCGACTTGATGGCCAGAATTCGGAAGATTTAATATCACAAAACAATAGAAATAAAATGAGCTAATAAGGCAAACAGTATTATTAGTCTGATGTGTGGATGTTTTAAGGGACTTTTCGCTTGATGTATTGGGTTTATGATACATAAGATTAATTACGGTTACAATAGGGATTACTTCTGGTTAACTGCTTGTAAGAAACATTTACCTTGTTAGGATGTGTATGTGTATTTCTTTTGTGCCTAAGGGTTGTTAAATGCTGGAGCAGGAAAAACATTTTTATCTTTATGTTCTCTAAAAGCCTTTGATCAAGGATCATATCCATCCATTTCTCGTGGTCTTGACGTATTGAGATCGATCAGGAAGAAATTGTGTGAACACAGCACAACTGACCTGATACTACTGATGCTGTGTGACTGAAATGACACCAGCATCAGCACAACCTCCTCAGCATACTAATGTATTCGATTCGACAGGAGTCGGTTAAGTGTTCATTGGGGCATACCCAACACCCATCGTTAACTTTCTACTTAAGCATGAATATTAAAGACGTTTACGAGCCTTTGTATACATAAAACTATTGCACAGATAGTTAAAGGGACGTTCAGACACATACGGCGTACTCTACCGTACAGACACCCCTTTAATATTATAATGATAAATAAACTCGGCCCTCCTTTCATCTGCGGGTATATTTGCTCAACTGTTCAAATCAGTTTGTATTGTGACAGGAGCCTGGAGGTTGTCATACACCTAGGTGATAATGACAGAAAACCACACGGAAATTCACTAATCATTTTTAACAGGTACCAACGTATCTCAGGTATTTAGGATGTATAGCAACAATGTATTAGTTTCTTACATATCTTTGATATTAGGTGATTTGAGGTCGATATTGACAGTCATATTGAACACGTTGATTCACATATCTTCGGATTGCGGATTAAGGTCCACGTCGACACTTTGATTTATTTTATTTTCAACAATTTTCTAAACACAAAGATTGATAGTGTGATAACGGTATATAAGAATCTGGTATTAATTGTTCGGTGAGTGGAATCGGAGGGATGATACTAAATACAGGTCTGGTATTAATTGTTCGGTAAGTAGAATCGGAGGGATGATACTAAATACAGGTCTGGTATTAATTGTTCGGTAAGTGGAATCGGAGGGATGATACTAAATACAGGTCTGGTATTAATTGTTCGGTAAGTGGAATCGGAGGGATGATACTAAATACAGGTCTGGTATTAATTGTTCGGTAAGTGGAATCGGAGGGATGATACTAAATACAGGTCTGGTATTAATTGTTCGGTAAGTGGAATCGGAGAGATGATACTAAATACAGGTCTGGTATTAATTGTTCGGTAAGTAGAATCGGAGGGATGATACTAAATACAGGTCTGGTATTAATTGTTCGGGAAGTGGAATCGGAGAGATGATACTAAATACAGGTCTGGTATTAATTGTTCCTTAAGTGGAATCCGGGGGATGATACTAAATACAGGTCTGGTATTAATTGTTCGGTAAGTGGAATCGGAGGGATGATACTAAATACAGGTCTGGTATTAATTGTTCGGTAAGTAGAATCGGAGGGATGATACTAAATACAGGTCTGGTATTAATTGTTCCTTAAGTGGAATCCGGGGGATGATACTAAATACAGGTCTGGTATTAATTGTTCGGTAAGTAGAATCGGAGGGATGATACTAAATACAGGTCTGGTATTAATTGTTCGGTAAGTGGAATCGGAGGGATGATACTAAATACAGGTCTGGTATTAATTGTTCCATAAGTGGAATCGGAGGGATGATACTAAATACAGGTCTGGTATTAATTGTTCCATAAGTGGAATCGGAGGGATGATACTAAATACAGGTCTGGTATTAATTGTTCGGTAAGTGGAATCGGAGGGATGATATTAAATACAGGTCTGGTATTAATTGTTCGGTAAGTAGAATCGGAGGGATGACACTAAATACAGGTCTGGTATTAATTGTTCCATAAGTGGAATCGGAGGGATGATACTAAATACAGGTCTGGTATTAATTGTTCGGTAAGTGGAATCGGAGGGATGATACTAAATACAGGTCTGGTATTAATTGTTCGGTAAGTAGAATCGGAGGGATGATACTAAATACAGGTCTGGTATTAATTGTTCGGTGAGTGGAATCGGAGGGATGATACTAAATACAGGTCTGGTATTAATTGTTCGGTAAGTAGAATCGGAGGGATGATATTAAATACAGGTCTGGTATTAATTGTTCCATAAGTGGAATCGGAGGGATGATACTAAATACAGGTCTGGTATTAATTGTTCGGTAAGTGGAATCGGAGGGATGATATTAAATACAGGTCTGGTAGTGACATTACTGACTTTGATTGACCAAGATTTACGTGGCGGATGCCGTCGATGAAACAGAAGACGCTTACTCTTCCGGAACAAATGGATTTATTCTTTGTGTTAATCTTTCTTTTGTTCACATTTTGCCCTAGATTTGAATTTAGATGATTATGGTTATATGTTGGTATTTTCTCGTGTTTTTAAAACCTTTTTGAAATATTGTTTTTGCTTCTGTATCTATAGGAAGTGATCATGGCTCATTCGGCGTATGCACGTGCAGCAGGTCTCCAGAGCGAGGTCAACAAGATCACAGTCACAAGGGTAGCTGGAAATGAGGTAGAATATAAACGTCAGCTTAACCTATATCGAAAAGATATGATGTTAACAATTAATAACATCCAAAGAGAGGAAAAACGCTTGAAGAAGTCCATGGTGAGATATCGTGGACGTATGCGACAGAATCGACGTGAAAAGAAACAGAGAGATAAGGAGGATTTTGAAAGAGATCAGAGAGCAATGAACAATATGTCAAATGTATTAGTGGTTCAAAGTCGATCCGAAGTAGTTGCACAGTCTGATCCCTTAAAGGAGGGTTCTCCAGACAGTGGGATTGGTGAGGAAATTCAAAATGGGTCAAAGGAGGACGGAGCAATGGTGGACAATACTTTGGATGATGAAAACGAAAATGAAGACAGTGAAAACGCGAAATTAAAATCCAAAAGGTGCGTCAAAAAACTGAAAAAAGGCGAAGATTGTAACGATAAAACATATATCACATTACCTGTTATAAACGAGGATACGGAGGAGACAGAGGATAAATCTGTAACAGGAACAGTGATAGAGGAGGATAGGGAAGATATGGAGGGGACACCGATTGAAAACGAAGTGCAACAGCCACAAGACAAAAGAGAAGTATCAGTAAGTGATTCAAAGGTACTAGAACTGCCTGACGTCATAAAAAGTAAACGTCGTCCTGCTAAGATTCTCAAAACAAAGAAACAAGTCGTGTCGTTTGCTGATTTGATAAAACTGCAACATTCCACCAGTACAAAGAAACTATTTGATTTAGTTCACATACTCGCGGAAAAGCACGGAGTAAGAGAGGACCAGGATGCCCTAGAGAAAGAGAATAGAAATATTGTAGCTCTGAGAAGCACAGGTCAAGGGATATCTGACTCAATGATGCGCGCAGCGTCTGTACTCTATCCTATGAAATTCGGATACGTTTCGACTAATGATTTAGAAGTTGAAGAACCTACAACGCCTTCCTCGATAATGGATGACCCGTCCACGGATAATTCCGGACTTTCGTCTCCATTGGAAACCAAACATGCAAGTAAACCTTCTTCTCCTCATGTGAACTTTCGGATTACTGACAATCAGAGTTCGGGGGTAAGGAACTATTCTAGACAAACAGAACCGACTCTACCAAGTGTTCGGAGTTCGTATCCTAAAGAGAATGTAAAACGAAACAATAGCATGCCAACGCTACTTGATCAGGTAGAAAAAGTGCAGAAAGCAAATTCACACAAACATAATGACATTGCCTCCTCTCAAAGACGCCATTCTTTGTCAAAGTCGTCTAACTCCACACCAAGGATTTTACCGCCATTGGAGAAAAAGAGATTGTCAGCCGGAAATGTATATGAAAAGAAAAGTGATGCAGTGTCATGGACGGAGGCGTTTGCGCTGTTGAAGGGAGTACATAACTTATTTGATTAGTTTAAGGACATGTGCCAAATACATTTTATATGATCGTTTCTGTTTCTCGATTTATTCAATTTGCATATTTTTCACAAATTATATTATCTATTTATATATGTATATATATAAGGTCGTGTCTTATTTTTGTTTAAGTATAAAATGACAATGAATGTTTGGTATTTTTTAATTTCGAAGCAAACGTAGAGTGATCAAGAAATGATTACATGTTACGGACAATTAGAGGACAAATTGGGGTAAATTAGAAAAATAACGAGAAATGAAGTGAGATTGAAATAAAAAGCGCCGAGATAATGTCATGCAGAATGCAAACACACACACACACACATATATATATATATATATATATAATATATATTTAAATTTTCGAACTTGATATCATCTGCCAAATAAACCACACAGGAATTTATGTCTTATTAATGAGGTAGTTGACCAGTTGAATAAATGAAAAAAATATATATCTGTATTATAGATGAGCATTTTATTGATTTTTATTTCCAGTCACGTCGTTGAAATCATGAAAAATAAAGTAGTTGCTTATAACACATCAAAATTCTTCATAATATATTATCATCACACTGAAATTGACGTTTTTTATATCAGATTTGATATCAGAAACAAATCGATAATCCGATGGTATTCATGGGAGCTGTTTTCACATCTTTGACGATCTGTGAAACAGTAATTTAGATTACTTATTTGTCCGAAAAGGCGTTCAAATATTACAGAATGAAATAGTTGAAACAATTACCACACCTGAGAATATTTATGTCTGACAGTAGTTGGTGGTTCTTAATACAAACAACAATAAACAACACATACATATATACATCTATAGTAATCCAGTAGTTTTTAAGTTACCTTTCTTTGATATATTGTATTAAAAGTGTGACGAATATCAAACGAGAAAACTCTAATTTATTTATTAAAAATTTAATGAAACTGTTTTGAAATTATTTATAAGAAAACAGCAAATGTAATAAAGTTACAGTATAGTCTATGTAAATGATAAAAAGGAAACACTATAAAATTATGTACAATAAGATGTGTTTATAAAACACCCCAGGCCGTATCGAAATTCTGTGGTGGGACATTAAAACTGTGCTGTGTAAGGCATGTATGTGCTAATTACATGCACACTTTGTGAAACGCTTATGTCTTCATTGTGGTATTTTTTGCTTTTTGCTGTAAATGTAGGTCAAAGGTCACGGTCAGAGTCACATGATAAAAAAAGTGTGCCTTCTCTTCTCTGGTATACAAAGGTGATTATTTAACTTGCATCCGTGTACATGGGCGAGTCGTGTTTTATCTCGGGAATCAATTTGATGATACAAAGACCATATCACATAAACTTTCTCTGGGGCTACCATACTATCAATAATAGTGGAAAAACAAACATAACAACTCTTTATCCTTTGTATACTATTAAAAACACATATTGACACGTCAAGGTACGTTTACTTTGGCGTTTTCGAACAATATCCATACATATACATGGTCGAGTATGATCTCAAAATCTTGAAACAGCGGTCAATGCTTGTTTATTCGTTATTGACATGAAAGTTAGATGTAAACGCGAGGATTATACAAAGGCATCAAAATGGTGAATAGCACCTGTCAACACCAATAAATGTTCGTCAGTGACGCCTGAAGGAAAATGGACACGGTTACTGTGATTGCAGTGAAGACCGTTTTTGATGGTTCGAATTTTCGCGGCTATATCATTAATTAAAGAAGATTGTTTTTTAACGAAAGTCATAAAACTTTAAAAGTATGTATTTTTCGCGGTATTAACCCGTCTTGAAAATACCAAGGCGAATAATGAAACCCGCAGAAATGATTACATTTACAGTATTGGAACCCACCGCTTATTGTTGACGTACAATGTAACTCGGGGTAAAAATGTTAAACAAGTGTTAGATTTAATGTGGGGTAATTTTGTATCTTATAGGATTTATGGGGCACCTTTCTATCTAGACTATGACATTTTTTTCGTTTTGCATTTTCGTAAAAAAACCCCCGTTAAACACGTAGAGCAGCTAATTTACCAGCACCAACTTCATGTACTATTTTATCTGAAATAAAAAGTCAGTATTTACCAGAACCAATATGTACTATTTTATCTGAAATAAAAAGTCAGCAAACACAAATTAACCAGGCACCAATTGTGTACTATTTTATCTGAAATAAAAAGTCAGCAAACACAAATTAACCAGGCACCAACTGTGTACTATTTTATCTGAAATAAAAAGTCAGCAAACACAAATTAACCAGGCACCAACTGTGTACTATTTTATCTGAAATAAAAAGTCAGCAAACACAAATTAACCAGGCACCAATTGTGTACTATTTTATCTGAAATAAAAAGTCAGAAAACACAAATTTACCAGGCACCAATTGTGTACTATTCTATCTGAAATAAAAAGTCAGATAATTTACCAGGCACCAATTGTGTACTATTTTATCTGAAATAAAAAGTCAGCAAACACAAATTAACCAGGCACCAATTGTGTACTATTTTATCTGAAATAAAAAGTCAGCAAACACTAATTAACCAGGCACCAATTGTGTACTATTTTATCTGCAATTAACAGTCAGCAAATTAACCAGGCACCAATTGTGTACTATTAACCAGGCACCAATTGTGTACTATTTTATCTGAAATAAAAAGTCAGCAAACACAAATTAACCAGGCACCAATTGTGTACTATTTTATCTGAAATAAAAAGTCAGCAAACACAAATTAACCAGGCACCAATTGTGTACTATTTTATCTGAAATAAAAAGTCAGATAATTTACCAGGCACCAATTGTGTACTATTTTATCTGAAATAAAAAGTCAGCAAACACAAATTAACCAGGCACCAACTGTGTACTATTTTATCTGAAATAAAAAGTCAGATAATTTACCAGGCACCAACTGTGTACTATTTTATCTGAAATAAAAAGTCAGATAATTTACCAGGCACCAATTGTGTACTATTTTATCTGAAATAAAAAGTCAGCAAACACAAATTAACCAGGCACCAATTGCGTACTATTCTATCTGAAATAAAAAGTCAGCAAACACTCAGATAATTTACCAGGCACCAATTGTGTACTATTTTATCTGAAATAAAAAGTAGACCAGGCACCAACTGTGTACTATTTTATCTGAAATAAAAAGTCAGAAACCACAATTTTATTAAATAAAAAGTCCAGGCACCAACTGTGTACTATTTTATCTGAAATAAAAAGTCAGATAATTAACCAGGCACCAATTGTGTACTATTTTATCTGAAATAAAAAGTCAGCAAACACAAATTAACCAGGCACCAACTGTGTACTATTTTATCTGAAATAAAAAGTCAGATAATTTACCAGGCACCAATTGTGTACTATTTTATCTGAAATAAAAAGTCAGAAAACAAATTACCAGGCACCAATTGTGTACTATTCTATCTGAAATAAAAAGTCAGATAATTTACCAGGCACCAATTGTGTACTATTTTATCTGAAATAAAAAGGTCAGAAAACACTAATTTACCAGGCACCAATTGTGTACTATTTTATCGGAAATAAAAAGTCAGCAAACACAAATTAACCAGGCACCAATTGCGTACTATTCTATCTGAAATAAAATGTCAGCAAACACAAATTAACCAGGCACCAACTGTGTACTATTTTATCTGAAATAAAAAGTCAGATAATTAACCAGGCACCAATTGCGTACTATTCTATCTGAAATAAAATGTCAGCAAACACAAATTAACCAGGCACCAACTGTGTACTATTTTATCTGAAATAAAAAGTCAGATAATTTACCAGGCACCAACTGTGTACTATTTTATCTGAAATAAAAAGTCAGAAAACAAATTACCAGGCACCAATTGTGTACTATTTTATCTGAAATAAAAAGTCAGCAAACACAAATTAACCAGGCACCAATTGTGTACTATTTTATCTGAAATAAAAAGTCAGATAATTTACCAGGCACCAATTGTGTACTATTTTATCTGAAATAAAAAGTCAGCAAACACAAATTAACCAGGCACCAATTGTGTACTATTTTATCTGAAATAAAAAGTCAGCAAACACAAATTAACCAGGCACCAACTGTGTACTATTTTATCTGAAATAAAAAGTCAGATAATTTACCAGGCACCAATTGTGTACTATTTTATCTGAAATAAAAAGTCAGATAATTTACCAGGCACCAATTGTGTACTATTTTATCTGAAATAAAAAGTAAAATTAACAGGCACCAAACTATTTTATCTGAAATAAAAAGTCAGACCAGGCACCAATTGTGTACTATTTTATCTGAAATAAAAAGTCAGATAATTTACCAGGCACCAATTGTGTACTATTCTATCTGAAATAAAATGTCAGCAAACACAAATTAACCAGGCACCAATTGTGTACTATTTTATCTGAAATAAAAAGTCAGCAAACACAAATTAACCAGGCACCAATTGTGTACTATTTTATCTGAAATAAAAAGTCAGATAATTTACCAGGCACCAATTGTGTACTATTTTATCTGAAATAAAAAGTCAGAAAACACAAATTTACCAGGCACCAATTGTGTACTATTTTATCTGTGTACTATTTTATCTGAAATAAAAAGTCAGCAAACACAAATTAACCAGGCACCAATTGTGTACTATTTTATCTGAAATAAAAAGTCAGCAAACACAAATTAACCAGGCACCAATTGTGTACTATTTTATCTGAAATAAAAAGTCAGATAATTTACCAGGCACCAATTGTGTACTATTTTATCTGAAATAAAAAGTCAGCAAACACAAATTAACCAGGCACCAATTGTGTACTATTTTATCTGAAGTAAAAAGGTCAGAAACCACTAATTTACCAGGCACCAATTGTGTACTATTTTATCTGAAGTAAACAGTCAGATAATTTACCAGGCACCAACTGTGTACTATTTTATCTGAAATAAAAAGTCAGCAAACACAAATTAACCAGGCACCAACTGTGTACTATTTTATCTGAAATAAAAAGTCAGCAAACACAAATTAACCAGGCACCAATTGTGTACTATTTTATCTGAAATAAAAAGTCAGATAATTTACCAGGCACCAATTGTGTACTATTTTATCTGAAATAAAAAGTCAGATAATTTACCAAGCCCAATTGTGTACTATTTTATCTGAAATAAAAAGTCAGAAAACACAAATTTACCAGGCACCAATTGTGTACTATTTTATCTGAAATAAAAAGTCAGAAAACACAAATTTACCAGGCACCAATTGTGTACTATTCTATCTGAAATAAAAAGTCAAATAAAAAGTCATTTTATCTGAAATAAAAAGTCACAAATTAACCAGGCACCAATTGTGTACTATTTTATCTGAAATAAAAAGTCAGATAATTTACCAGGCACCAATTGTGTACTATTTTATCTGAAATAAAAAGTCAGCAAACACAAATTAACCAGGCACCAATTGTGTACTATTTTATCTGAAATAAAAAGTCAGATAATTTACCAGGCACCAATTGTGTACTATTTTATCTGAAATAAAAAGTCAGCAAACACTAATTTACCAGGCACCAATTGTGTACTATTTTATCGGAAATAAAAAGTCAGCAAACACAAATTAACCAGGCACCAACTGTGTACTATTCTATCTGAAATAAAAAGTCAGATAATTAACCAGGCACCAATTGTGTACTATTTTATCTGAAATAAAAAGTCAGCAAACACAAATTAACCAGGCACCAATTGTGTACTATTTTATCTGAAATAAAAAGTCAGATAATTAACCAGGCACCAATTGTGTACTATTTTATCTGAAATAAAAAGTCAGATAATTTACCAGGCACCAATTGTGTACTATTTTATCTGAAATAAAAAGTCAGATAATTTACCAGGCACCAATTGTGTACTATTTTATCTGAAATAAAAAGTCAGCAAACACAAATTAACCAGGCACCAATTGTGTACTATTTTATCTGAAATAAAAAGTCAGATAATTTACCAGGCACCAATTGTGTACTATTTTATCTGAAGTAAACAGTCAGATAATTTACCAGGCACCAACTGTGTACTATTTTATCTGAAATAAAAAGTCAGATAATTAACCAGGCACCAATTGTGTACTATTTTATCTGAAATAAAAAGTCAGAAAACACAAATTTACCAGGCACCAATTGTGTACTATTTTATCTGAAATAAAAAGTCAGATAATTAACCAGGCACCAATTGTGTACTATTTTATCTGAAATAAAAAGTCAGAAAACACAAATTTACCAGGCACCAATTGTGTACTATTTTATCTGCAGTTAACAGTCAGAAAATTAACCAGGCACCAATTGTGTACTATTCTATCTGAAATAAAAAGTCAGAAAACACTAATTTACCAGGCACCAATTGTGTACTATTTTATCTGAAATAAAAAGTCAGATAATTTACCAGGCACCAATTGTGTACTATTTTATCTGAAATAAAAAGTCAGAAAACACAAATTAACCAGGCACCAATTGTGTACTATTTTATCTGAAATAAAAAGTCAGATAATTAACCAGGCACCAATTGTGTACTATTTTATCTGAAATAAAAAGTCAGATAATTAACCAGGCACCAATTGTGTACTATTCTATCTGAAATAAAATGTCAGCAAACACAAATTAACCAGGCACCAACTGTATACTATTTTATCTGAAATAAAAAGTCAGATAATTTACCAGGCACCAATTGTGTACTATTTTATCTGAAATAAAAAGTCAGATAATTTACCAGGCACCAATTGTGTACTATTTTATCTGAAATAAAAAGTCATATAATTTACCAGGCACCAATTGTGTACTATTTTATCTGAAATAAAAAGTCACACAATTGGCACCAATTGTGTACTATTTTATCTGAAGTAAACAGTCAGATAATTTACCAGGCACCAATTGTGTACTATTTTATCTGAAATAAACAGTCAGATAATTTACCAGGCACCGATTGTGTACTATTTTATCTGAAGTAAAAAGTCAGAAAACACTAATTTACCAGGCACCAATTGTGTACTATTATATCTGAAGTAAACAGTCAGATAATTTACCAGGCACCAATTGTGTACTATTTTATCTGAAATAAAAAGTCAGATAATTTACCAGGCACCAATTGTGTACTATTTTATCTGAAATCAAAAGTCAGAAAACACAAAATTTACCAGGCACCAATTGTGTACTATTTTATCTGAAATCAAAAGTCAGAAAACACAAAATTTACCAGGCACCAATTGTGCTTATATGGTATATATATATATATATATATTTAAATTTGGATGTTACCTAAAAATAGTAAGATTTAATCAAAAGGTAGAAAAATCCTAATTGATCTTTTTAAGAAATCATCTTGAATTATTTCGATAAACTGATGCATTTTGTGTACTAAAACCATACAAAACTTTTGTGTCACAATGAAACAGTTAATATTTCACGTCGTATGAAATAGCTTTAAGGTTAAAATGTATTTTAGATGAAATTTTCATTCCGATAATGACTTTACCTCAAGAATAATTAAATGCTTGTCCCAATCTTAAAACACCCCGTTTGATATATTGTAGAACTTATTCTTAAGCATAGGAACGTTCATTCTGTAAGGTGCGACGACGACCGGGAAAGAATATATCAGACATGTCTCACTGTATGTCCCAAGGGGCGACTAATTGTGGGGCACTCCTTATAGATGAAGGATAGGTTGATTTCTCAAAGAAAAAAAATTGGATGTTATCTCCTTCTCTACTAGCCACTTGGACACCATACATGGGGTACAGGTTCACTTTGGCGGTATGTCGCTTATCAAAAGAGGGTCACTACGACATCTACCAGTGGACAATGATTTTCTAGGACATCTACCAGTGGACAATGATTTTCTAGGACATCTACCAGTGGACAATGATTTTCTAGGACATCTACCAGTGGACAATGTTTTTCTAGGACATCTACCAGTGGACAATGATTTACTAGGACATCTACCAGTGGACAATGTTTTTCTAGGACATCTACCAGTGGACAATGGTTTTCTAGGACATCTACCAGTGGACAATGTTTTTCTAGGACATCTACCAGTGGACAATGTTTTTCTAGGACATCTACCAGTGGACAATGATTTTCTAGGACATCTACCAGTGGACAATGATTTTCTAGGACATCTACCAGTGGACTATTATTTTCTAGGTCACCTTCTAGTGTCCAAAGGTTTTCTAGGACATCTACCAGTGGACAATGATCTTCTAGGTCACCTACTAGTGTCCAAAGGTTTTCTAGGCCGTATAGTGGTGGTCCACTGTTTTCCTACATCATCTGTTTGTGGTCAAGGATATTCTAGACCACCTACTAGTAGACAAGGGTTTTCTAAATAATTTTGTAGTGGTCAATAATTTTCTAATGAACTTTCTACTGATCAAGGGTTTTCTTAACCAACTTGGTCAAGGTCTAAATCATCAATTGTGTTTTCTGAATCACCGATTGCTAGTCAAAGCTTTTCTGAATCACCCATTACTAGTCAAAGCTTTTCTGAATCACCTATTACTAGTCAAAGCTTTTCTGAATCACCCATTGCTACTCCATTACCTGTCTCTACTCCATTTTCTTACTCTACTCCATTATCAGTCACTATTCCATTATATGTCTATACACCAGTATCTGTCTCTACTCCATTATATGTCTATACACCATTATCTGTCTCTACACCATTATCTGTCTCTACACCATTATCTGTCTCTACACCATTATCTGTCTCTACATCATTATCTGTCTATACACCAGTATCTGTCTCTACACCATTATCTGTCTCTACACCATTATCTGTCTCTACACCATTATCTGTCACTACACCAGTATCTGTCTCTACACCATTATCTGTCTATACACCAGTATCTGTCTCTACACCATTATCTGTCACTACTCCATTATCTGTCTCTACACCATTATCTGTCTATACACCAGTATCTGTCTCTACTCCATTATATGTCTATACACCATTATCTGCCTCTACTCCATTATCTGCCTCTACACCAGTATCTGTCTCTACACCATTATCTGTCACTACTCCATTATCTGTCTCTACACCATTATCTGTCTATACACCAGTATCTGTCTATACACCAGTATCTGTCTCTACACCATTATATGTCACTACTCCATTATCTGTCTCTACACCATTATATGTCTCTACTCCATTATCTGCCTCTACACCATTATCTGTCTCTACACCATTATCTGTCACTACTCCATTATCTCTCTCTACACCATTGTCTGTCTCTACACCATTACCTGTCTCTACTCCATTATCTGTCTCTACACCAGTAGCTGTCTCTATTCCATTATCTGCCTCTACACCATTATCTGCCTCTACTCCATTATCTGTCTCTACACCATTACCTGTCTCTACACCATTATCTGTCTCTACTCCATTATCTGTCTCTACACCAGTAGCTGTCTCTACTCCATTATCTGCCTCTACACCATTATCTGCCTCTACTACATTATCTGCCTCTACACCAGTATCTGTCTCTACTCCATTGTCTGTCTCTACACCATTATCTGTCTCTACTCCATTATCTGCCACTACATCAGTATCTGTCTCTACACCATTACCTGTCTCTACACCATTATCTGTCTCTACTCCATTATCTGTCTCTACACCATCTCTACACCAGTATCTGTCTCTACTCCATTATCTGTCTCTACACCATTATCTGTCACTAAACCATTACCTGTCTCTACACCATTATCTGTCTCTACTCCATTATCTGTCTCTTCACCATTATCTGTCTCTATTCAATTATCTGTCTATACACCATTATCTATCTCTACACTATTACCTGTCTCTACACCATTATCTGTCACTACTCCATTATCTGTTTCTACACCATTATCTGTCTCTACTCCATTATCTGTCTCTACACCATTATCTGTCTCTACTCCAGTATCTGTCTCTACAACAGTATCTGTCTCTACTCCATTGTCTGTCTCTACACCATTATCTGTCTCTACAATATTATCTGTCTCTACACCAGTATCTGTCTCTACTCCATTATCTGTCTCTACACCATTATCTGTCACTACTCCATTACCTGTCACTACTCCATTATCTGTCTCTACACCATTTTCTGCCTCTACACTATTATCTGTCTCTACACCATTATCTGTCTCTACAACAGTATCTGTCTCTACTCCATTGTCTGTCTCTACACCATTATCTGTCTCTACAATATTATCTGTCTCTACACCAGTATCTGTCTCTACTCCATTATCAGTCTCTACACCAGTATCTGTCTCTACTCCATTACCTGTCTCTACACCATTATCTGTCTCTACACCATTACCTGTCTCTACACCATTATCTGTCTCTACACCAGTATCTGTCTCTACTACATTATCTGTCTCTATACCATTATCCGTCTCTACTTCATTACCTGTTTCTACTCCATTACCTGTCTCTGCTCCATTATCTATCTCTACTCCATTACCTGTCTCTACTCCATTATCTGTCTCTACTCTATTACCTGTCTCTACTTCATTACCTATCTTTACTCAATTGTCTGGCTTTATTCCATTGAATTTCTAGATTTGTACTGAAAGGTACTTTCGCGTGTTTCTCACATTTTTTTTATTCTGATTTTGGTGTTATAGAAATATCTAATTTGTCAATGTACTTGAATTCGTCTGTATGCTACTTTTCATCATGTAATTATGAAAAACTCCTGTCAAAGATGATAATTCAATAAAAATTTTTAATAATTTAGTAATACAATGCAGCTTTTAGTGGGTCAATGTGTCATGTGTCCTTGCCTACTTTATTTTAATTTTATTGGATTTTATGGATGATCAAAATCTACTAATAAAAAGAAATATACTTTTCTTTACAATCAAAACTTCGTATATTGATTTGATAATAAAAGGACATATATCCTATTCAAAATACGATTATTTTTCCCGGCTAAACGAATTTTTATTAAGCAAATCATAACGTGATATTACTTACTTGTATTGACCAAGGCTTACCAGGCGGGTGTCATCGATGGAGCAGGAGATGCTTACTCTTCTGTAACACCTGGTCTTATTCTCCTTGTTCTCTTTCATGAATTAAGTTTGAATTATAATTGACATGTTGGTATTTTCTTGGGTACTTTTTTCTCCTTTACGTTTGATGTCATGGTCTTGTTGATATATTTAGACTGAAAGTTTCGTTTTAATCGTTTGATCCATTTATTGATACTTTTTTTCTTTATTTTATTTTTTTCATTTTTGTAAATTGAAAGTGTGATTATATATCGATGGGACGAACTAAAGGTCAATGTTAACGACGTTGGTTTAGAATGGAAACAAGAGTGCTCGAGTTATCGTTCTTTACAATGCCACGATCACGTGTATTATGAGGTATGGTGTTTAAACTATATAAGATGAATTTTAATTTAAATCTAGGACAAGGATAATTAATACCTATACGTCATTTCATCTTTTTGATCATGAACATGACATGACCCCTTTAAGTCAGTTCAGACAGCCTGACAACAATAATGGCTTGTCAAATAGCTTTAACTAAGCAGAAAAGGGCGATAACTCCGCTGACATTAAAAGTTACTCGCTAGGTATCAACAATAGAACTGCTAAACAGTTATTGAATTAGGTTGGCATTTTCTGGAAAAGAAATATCGTAATTCGTTCAGCTCATGGAGTATAAAAAACCAACCCTTGACTTTCTAGTTCACAGGAATGGTCAAGAGCAACCCTCACTGAAAATACTGTTCAAACGACCCACAACGACACCTTTATTACATATTTAGAGTAAGATACTGTAGAACTAGATAATGAATTAAACTGCATTACACAGCTGCTAGGACTCATCAGTGATGCTAAGGGCCTAAGTTTTGAAGTCAAGGAGGCGACTGAGGAAAAGCCGAAGTAACCGAAAGTAAACCCAAAGTGATCGAAAGTAAACCCAAAGTGATCGAAAGTAAACCCAAAGTGATCGAAAGGAAACCCAAAGTGATCGAAAGTAAACCCAAAGTGATCGAAAGTAAACCCAAAGTGATCGAAAGTAAACCCAAAGTGATCGAAAGTAAACCCAAAGTGATCGAAAGGAAACCCAAAGTGATCGAAAGTAAACCCAAAGTGATCGAAAGGAAACCCAAAGTGATCGAAAGTAAACCCAAAGTGATCGAAAGTAAACCCAAAGTGATCGAAAGTAAACCCAAAGTGATCGAAAGTAAACCCAAAGTGATCGAAAGTAAACCCAAAGTGATCGAAAGTAAACGCAAAGTGATCGAAAGTAAACCCAAAGTGATCGAAAGTAAACCCAAAGTGATCGAAAGTAAACCCAAAGTGATCGAAAGTAAACCCAAAGTGATCGAAAGTAAACCCAAAGTGATCGAAAGTAAACCCAAAGAAAAGTCATAGTGATCGAAGGATAAAAATCAGGAGAATGAGGTGCACAAGCACGATAATACAATAAATTTCATAATCTGATCATTTTATGATAACGGCTGGTACACGTGTGTGGAAATATCTCCGATTCTGTCCATTTAATCGTGTTTCATTTTAAGAAATCGGAGATATACCATAAAAGCAATTCAGATAAGCAGACGAGGAACATGGAACCTCACATAATAAGTTTATGTCTTCCTTCTAGGACTCGTCAGTGATGTTACATCATACTGTCGTCCTTCTAGGACTCGTCAGTAATGTCACATCATACTGTCGTCCTTCTAGGACTCGTCAGTAATGCTACATCATACAGCTGTTTCGTCCTTCTAGGACTCGTAAGTGATGTTACATCATACTGTCGTCCTTCTAGGACTCGTCAGTAATGTCACATCATACTGTCGTCCTTCTAGGACTCGTCAGTAATGCTACATCATACAGCTGTTTCGTCCTTCTAGGACTCGTAAGTGATGTTACATCATACTGTCGTCCTTCTAGGACTCGTCAGTGATGTTACATCATACTGTCGTCCTTCTAGGACTCGTTAGTAATGCTGCATCATACAGCTGTTTCGTCCTTCCAGGACTCGTCAGTGATGTTACATCATACTGTCGTCCTTCCAAGACTCGTAAGTGATGTCACATCATACTGTCGTCCTTCTAGGACTCGTTAGTTATGCTACATCATACAGCTGGTTCGTCCTTCCAAGACTCGTCAGTGATGTTACATCATACTGTCGTCCATCCAGGACTCGTCAGTGATGTTACATCATACTATCGTCCTTCTAGGACTCGTCAGTGATGTTACATCATACTGTCGTCCTTCTAGGACTCGTCAGTGATGTTACATCATACTGTCGTCCTTCTAGGACTCGTCAGTAATGCTACATCATACAGCTGTTTCGTCCTTCTAGGACTCGTCAGTGATGTTACATCATACTGTCGTCCTTCTAGGGCTCGTCAGTGATGTTACATCATATTGTTGTCCTTCTAGGACTCGTCAGTGATGTCATATCATATTGTTGTCCTTCTAGGACTCGTCAGTGATGTTACATCATACCGTCGTCCTTCTAGGACTCGTCAGTGATGTCATATCATATTGTCGTCCTTCTAGGACTCGTTAGTGATGTTACATCATACTGTCGTCCTTCTAGGACTCGTCAGTGATGTTAAGTTTATTAACTGTTGGAACTTTAAAAGGTAACTAAGGCAATAAGGTATTTCAAGTTACACTTATTGTGATCAGTTTCAAGTTTTTTTTTTTTATTATTTTATTTTAAGGCCCATAGCAACACTTACGTGCTCAATAAGGACGAGACAGTTGCATGATGCAGTTTACTTCGTTATTCGGCGATACTGTATCTAACTCTGCGTTAAATGTTGTCATTCACGTGTGTGATTCTGTGCAATCCTATTTATCTTTACATAATCGCACCCATCTGAATGTTGTCAAGAAGAAGAATATTAGTTATGAAATTTTGAAAGTTAATACTATTTGACAAATTTTTGTATCAGTAAGTAAATTGTTTATAATCGACTTCCTGTTATTCATAATGAAGTTGATGGACGAAAATCATGTCGCACACGTTATAATATTGATAACGCTGTTCGACCACTGAAGTCCAGTGCTAACATTGACCAGAACTTAATGTAGGAATTCCGGGGTTTCTAATACAGAGTAGAAAGGCCGTGAGTCACTGAAAGTCTTTATCTCCCTAATACGTGTCTCCTCTCATCTCCCTTAAACCCTTCGCGTACTTCACATACCTACAACATTACCATAATAATACTGACTTTTCCAGATCCCAGATAGAGATATAGAGTGATTTCTCTGTATATACTCACCAATTTGACGTCCTTTTAAATGTATCAGATATATCAAAATATTTGTTAATTCAGGGCTGGTACACCTCCCATTCTAGATGTTCACATATTTTCCTCGGTCGCCTCCAAGGCCTCAATATTCAGACCTTCAGCATCACTGCATTTTGAAATGGATCTCAAGTGTATTGATCAATTAAATCACTCTCTCTGGTGCGTTCGGTGTCTTACTTTGGGAGGAAACCGGAGTAACCGGATAAAAAACCCACGTGGTCGGCAGGTGACCCCTTACCTTTTCACGTTCGTTCCGGGAAGCGAAACTCGGACGTCTTGGTAAAAGGCGAGTGCTTTACCACCGCGCCTTCCAACAACTCCTTTTATCAAAATGTAATGACGTCTACTTTCAAACACTCCATGTTTACATAGTGCATGTGTTGTGAGAGAGTGATAATATGATAAATTGATAAAATTGATAAATATATTTCTAATGTATTGATACTGAATATATTATCACGTACACACACTCTTTATGATATTTAATTCTTTTATGTATCCACACCATTGGCACGATTTATGTAAAAAGTAAACTTGTAAGCGTATAGTGAATAATGTTGAAATATTTCAAATACATGAACATCTGTATCATATCGTTTATACTTAAAATATACTCATGTTATATAGAATGTTAACATACATTTTCTTCCGGTAAGATAATTCAATTTTTTTTTTGTGAAAAAAAATGTTTGTAACTTATACTCAAGATACACAAGATATAAACCTCTCGTTACACACGATTCACATTGATAAAAAAGTGAATGTCAATATATGAGATCAATGCCTATCATTTTGTATGGCCTTTATAAATAAGATATTTATATACTGTAGGCAGTGATGATATAAAATTGTCATATAATTTATCAAGTTATACCTCCGACATTTACGCAACATCGTTATTAGCAAACAGACATTTTAAAAACTGTTTTATTTTTAAAGGAACTGCCTCGTTGTCTTTCATTTAAAAAAACCTAGAAAATTCATACTGAAATATTAGAAATAATATGTGAATTGGTTTGATATTATAGAACAAATTCATATATGAGATCCGAATGATAATTGGTAATAATTAGTAGTAAAATATAGTAAAGGACAAGTGATGGATTCCTGGGACATTAATGTAGACAGAAATTAAGTTCCTCCGGGACAAACACTGTGGTGGAGAGACAGAAATCAAGTTCCTCCGGGACAAACACTGTGGTGGAGTGACAGAAATCAAGATCCTCCGGGACAAACACTGTGGTGGAGTGACAGAAATCAAGATCCTCCGGGACAAACACTGTGGTGGAGTGACAGAAATCAAGTTCCCCCAGGACAAACACTGTGGTGGAGAGACAGAAATTAAGTTCATCTAGGACAAACACTGTGGTGGAGAGACAGAAATTAAGTTCCTCTAGGACAAACACTGTGGTGGAGAGAAAGAAATTAAGTTCCTCCGGGACAAACACTGTGGTGGAGAGACAGAAATTAAGATCCTCCAGGACAAACACTGTGGTGGAGAGACAGAAATTAAGTTCCTCCGGGACAAGCACTGTGGTGGAGAGACAGAAATTAAGTTCCTCCGGGACAAACACTGTGGTGGAGTGACAGAAATTAAGTTCCTCTAGGACAAACACTGTGGTGGAGAGACAGAAATTAAGTTCCTCCGGGACAAACACTGTGGTGGAGTGACAGAAATCAAGTTCCTCCAGGACAAACACTGTGGTGGAGTGACAGAAATTAAGTTCCTCTAGGACTAACACTGTGGTGGAGAGACAGAAATTAAGTTCCTCCGGGACAAACACTGTGGTGGAGAGACAGAAATTAAGTTCCTCCGGGACAAACACTGTGGTGGAGTGACAGAAATCAAGTTCCTCTAGGACAAATACTGTGGTGGAGTGACAGAAATCTAGTTTCTCTAGGACAAATACTGTGGTGGAGTGACAGAAATCAAGTTCCTCTAGGACAAATACTGTGGTGGAGTGACAGAAATCAAGTTCCTCTAGGACAAACACTGTGGTGGAGAGACAGAAATGAAGTTCCTCCAGGACAAACACTGTGGTGGAGAGACAGAAATCAAGTTCCTCTAGGACAAACACTGTGGTGGAGTGACAGAAATCAAGTTCCTCCAGGACAAACGCTGTGGTGGAGAGACAGAAATCAAGTTCCTCCAGGACAAACGCTGTGGTGGAGAGACAGAAATCAAGTTCCTAAAGGACAAACACTGGGGTGGAGACACAGAAATCAAGTTCCTCTAGGACAAACACTGTGGTGGAGAGACAGAAATCAAGTTCCTCTAGGACAAACACTGTGGTGGAGTGACAGAAATCAAGTTCCTCCAGGACAAACGCTGTGGTGGAGAGACAGAAATCAAGTTCCTCCAGGACAAACGCTGTGGTGGAGAGACAGAAATCAAGTTCCTAAAGGACAAACACTGGGGTGGAGACACAGAAATCAAGTTCCTCTAGGACAAACACTGTGGTGGAGAGACAGAAATCAAGTTCCTCCAGGACAAACACTGTGGTGGAGAGACAGAAATCAAGTTCCTCTAGGACAAACACTGTGGTGGAGAGACAGAAATCAAGTTCCTCCAGGACAAACGCTGTGGTGGAGAGACAGAAATCAAGTTCCTAAAGGACAAACACTGGGGTGGAGACACAGAAATCAAGTTCCTCCAGGACAAACACTGTGGAGGAGAGACAGAAATCAAGTTCCTCCAGGACAAACACTGTGGTGGAGAGACAGAAATCAAGTTCCTCTAGGACAAACGCTGTGGTGGAGAGACAGAAATCAAGTTCCTCCAGGACAAACGCTGTGGTGGAGAGACAGAAATCAAGTTCCTAAAGGACAAACACTGTGGTGGAGACACAGAAATCAAGTTCCTAAAGGACAAACGCTATGGTGGAGAGACAGAAATCAAGTTCCTCCAGGACAAACGCTGTGGTGGAGAGACAGAAATCAAGTTCCTCTAGGACAAACACTGTGGTGGAGAGACAGAAATCAAGTTCCTCCAGGACAAACACTGTGGTGGAGAGACAGAAATCAAGTTCCTAAAGGACAAACATTGTTTTGGAGTGCCAAAAAAAATAGGACTTATATTAAGAAACCTGTAAGTATAGAAACTGGAGGGGATGGCAGTTTACATAGATCGTTCCATGCGTCTATTTAAGTGTAAAATATACCTAAATGTTACGCATGAAAATGCTGGAACGGTATTAATGATACACTGACACGTTTAACGCGTTTAATGATCAATTAAAATGTTGAAAGATGTAATAAAACCACTCAGAAATGTTGAAAAAGAATTAATGATTCATTGTAATATTAAACAACATTTAATGATACATTGAAATGTTGAACATCAATTAATGATACATTGACATGCTGAACAAGAATTAATGTTACATTGAAATGCTGAACAAGAATTAATGATACATTGAAATGCTGAACAAGAATTAATGATACATTGACATGATAAACATGAATCAATGATGCATTGAAATGCTGAACCAGAATTAATGATACTTTGAAATGCTGAACAAGAATTAATGATACATTGACATGATAAACATGAATCAATGATACATTGAAATGCTGAACCAGAATTAATGATATATTAAAATGCTGAACAAGAATTAATGATGCATTGAAATGCTGAACCAGAATTAATGATACTTTGAAATGTTGAACAAGAATTTAATCGTGAAATGTTGAACAATTATTAATACATTTTTATCATATATATATTGAATATATAATATATTGAACAGATTTTAAGTTTAAGCAAAAACATGAAAAAATCGTACGAAATGCAGTGAAATAGCACCGACATTTTGCGTTCTGCTGTTGATGCATATCTAGTTACATACGCAATACGTTTACCGAGGCGTATGAACATGGACGCATAGTGTCAAATGGCCGACGCATAGTGTCAAATGGCATCCTCAACCTAATTGTTCTATAACCAATGATTAAGTTTAACATGCAGTATATCAAAGGTTATTGGTGCTATGTTTGATCAGAGGCATTTAAGGACGGTATCATCAAAATGGCATCAGAGAGTGGCATTGGATAGTGGCATCAAACAGTGATATTAGACAATGGCATTGGATAGTGGCATCAAACAGTGATATTAGACAATAGCATTGGATAGTGGCATCAAACAGTGATATTAGACAATAGCATTGAATAATGGCATCAAACAGTGATATTAGACAATGGCATTGGATAATGGCATCAAACAGTGATATTAGATAGTGGCATTGGATAGTGGCATCAAACAGTGATATTAGACAATGACATTGGATAGTGGCATCAAACAGTGATATTAGATAGTGGCATTGGATAGTGGCATCAAACAGTGATATTAGACAATGACATTGGATAGTGGCATCAAACAGTGATATTAGACAATGACATTGGATAGTGGCATCAAACAGTGATATTAGACAATGACATTGGATAGTGGCATCAAACAGTGATATTAGACAATGGCATTGGATAATGGCATCAAACAGTGATATTAGACAATGGCATTGGATAGTGGCATCAAACAGTGATATTAGATAGTGGCATTGGATAGTGGCATCAAACAGTGATATTAGACAATGACATTGGATAGTGGCATCAAACAGTGATATTAGACAATGGCATTGGATAGTGGCATCAAACAGTGATATTAGATAGTGGCATTGGATAGTGGCATCAAACAGTGATATTAGATAGTGGCATCAAGGATTCTAAAGTGATTATCTTTGATAAACAAACTTGAATTATCCGCCTTATTAACCATTTAAAAAGGTCGATACATTGACCAAATAAGGAAATATCAAATACAGCATTTCAGCAATGACCTATTTCACATCATCAAAATTTCGTATTTAGATAATACTTTAAAAATTTCCGATTCTCGTCATGTTATCACCAGAATAAACAGGCACCCGACCACTGTTCCCGCTATCAAAGCGATCGCGTTATCAGACAGACTGGATTTTGTGCCGGTGTTAGCTGAGCTAGGAAAAGAGGTTGTAATTCTGTTTGATGTTCCCGAAAGCGAAGTAGAAAAATCGTTTCCAGCGGACGTTTGAATATGTGTTGGTTGCGATGATGGTGAGATTGTTTTAAAGATATTCGTTGTTTGTTTTTTAACAACCTCAGCAACAGACGTAGAATGTTTTGTCACGGTGATTGGTTTCATTGTGGTAGTAATAGTTGCTGTTGATTTTGTGGTCGTAGATGGTTGATTCGTGGTCGTAGATGGTTGATTCGTGGTCGTAGGTGTTGTTGATGTTGTGGTTGTAGATGGTTGATTCGTGGTCGTAGGTGTTGTTGATGTTGTGGTTGTAGATGGTTGATTCGTGGTCGTAGATGGTTGATTCGTGGTTGTAGGTGCTTTTGATGTTGTGGTTGTAGATGGTTGATTCGTGGTCGTAGGTGTTGTTGATGTTGTGGTTGTAGATGGTTGATTCGTGGTCGTAGATGGTTGATTCGTGGTCGTAGGTGTTGTTGATGTTGTGGTCGTAGATGGTTGATTCGTGGTCGTAGGTGTTGTTGATGTTGTGGTTGTAGATGGTTGATTCGTGGTCGTAGATGGTTGATTCGTGGTCGTAGGTGCTGTTGTTGTTGTGGTCGTAGATGGTTGATTCGTGGTCGTAGGTGTTGTTGATGTTGTGGTTGTAGATGGTTGATTCGTGGTCGTAGATGGTTGATTCGTGGTCGTAGGTGCTGTTGATGTTGTGGTCGTAGATGGTTGATTCGTGGTCGTAGATGGTTGATTCGTGGTCGTAGGTGCTGTTGATGTTGTGGTCGTAGATGGTTGATTCGTGGTTGTAGATGGTTGATTCGTGGTCGTAGATGGTTGATTCGTGGTTATAGGTGCTGTTGATGTTGTGGTTGTAGAAGGTTGATTCGTGGTCGTAGGTGTTGTTGATGTTGTGGTCGTAGATGGTTGATTCGTGGTCGTAGGTGTTGTTGATGTTGTGGTTGTAGATGGTTGATTCGTGGTCGTAGATGGTTGATTCGTGGTCGTAGATGGTTGATTCGTGGTCGTAGGTGCTGTTGATGTTGTGGTCGTAGATGGTTGATTCGCGGTTGTAGGTGCTGTTGATGTTGTGGTCGTAGATGGTTGATTCGTGGTCGTAGGTGTTGTTGATGTTGTGGTCGTAGATGGTTGATTCGTGGTCGTAGATGGTTGATTCGTGGTCGTAGATGGTTGATTCGTGGTTGTAGGTGCTTTTGATGTTGTGGTCGTAGATGGTTGATTCGTGGTCGTAGATGGTTGATTCGTGGTCGTAGGTGCTGTTGATGTTGTGGTCGTAGATGGTTGATTCGTGGTCGTAGATGGTTGATTCATGGTTGTAGATGGTTGATTCGTGGTCGTAGGTGGTTGATTCGTGTTCGTAGGTGGTTGATTCGTGGTCGTAGGTGCTGTTGATATTGTGGTCGTAGATGGTTGATTCGTGGTCGTAAATGGTTGATTCGTGGTCGTAGATGGTTGATTCGTGGTCGTAGATGGTTGATTCGTGGTCGTAGGTGCTGTTGTTGTTGTGGTCGTAGATGGTTGATTCGTGGTCGTAGGTGTTGTTGATGTTGTGGTTGTAGATGGTTGATTCGTGGTCGTAGATGGTTGATTCGTGGTCGTAGGTGCTGTTGATGTTGTGGTCGTAGATGGTTGATTCGTGGTCGTAGATGGTTGATTCGTGGTCGTAGGTGCTGTTGATGTTGTGGTCGTAGATGGTTGATTCGTGGTTGTAGATGGTTGATTCGTGGTCGTAGATGGTTGATTCGTGGTTATAGGTGCTGTTGATGTTGTGGTTGTAGAAGGTTGATTCGTGGTCGTAGGTGTTGTTGATGTTGTGGTCGTAGATGGTTGATTCGTGGTCGTAGGTGTTGTTGATGTTGTGGTTGTAGATGGTTGATTCGTGGTCGTAGATGGTTGATTCGTGGTCGTAGATGGTTGATTCGTGGTCGTAGGTGCTGTTGATGTTGTGGTCGTAGATGGTTGATTCGCGGTTGTAGGTGCTGTTGATGTTGTGGTCGTAGATGGTTGATTCGTGGTCGTAGGTGTTGTTGATGTTGTGGTCGTAGATGGTTGATTCGTGGTCGTAGATGGTTGATTCGTGGTCGTAGATGGTTGATTCGTGGTTGTAGGTGCTTTTGATGTTGTGGTCGTAGATGGTTGATTCGTGGTCGTAGATGGTTGATTCGTGGTCGTAGGTGCTGTTGATGTTGTGGTCGTAGATGGTTGATTCGTGGTCGTAGATGGTTGATTCATGGTTGTAGATGGTTGATTCGTGGTCGTAGGTGGTTGATTCGTGTTCGTAGGTGGTTGATTCGTGGTCGTAGGTGCTGTTGATATTGTGGTCGTAGATGGTTGATTCGTGGTCGTAAATGGTTGATTCGTGGTCGTAGATGGTTGATTCGTGGTCGTAGATGGTTGATTCGTGGTTGTAGATGGTTGATTCGTGGTCTTAGGTGGTTGATTCGTGTTCGTAGGTGGTTGATTCGTGGTCGTAGATGGTTGATTCGTGGTCGTAGATGGTTGATTCGTGGTTGTAGGTGCTGTTGATGTTGTGGTCGTAGATGGTTGATTCGTGGTCGTAGGTGTTGTTGATGTTGTGGTTGTAGATGGTTGATTCGTGGTCGTAGATGGTTGATTCGTGGTCGTAGGTGGTTGATTCGTGGTTGTAGGTGCTGTTGATGTTGTGGTCGTAGATGGTTGATTCGTGGTCGTAGGTGTTGTTGATGTTGTGGTTGTAGATGGTTGATTCGTGATCGTAGATGGTTGATTCGTGGTCGTAGGTGTTGTTGATGTTGTGGTCGTAGATGGTTGATTCGTGGTCGTAGATGGTTGATTCGTGTTCGTAGGTGGTTGATTCGTGGTCGTAGGTGGTTGATTTGTGTTCGTAGATGGTTGATTCGTGGTCGTAGATGGTTGATTCGTGGTCGTAGATGGTTGATTCGTGGTCGTAGATGGTTGATTCGTGGTCGTAGATGGTTGATTCGTGGTTGATTGTGTGACCGTTGATGAAGTAGATGAAGTGATGGTAGATACAGTTGATGGAGTCAATATGCTCCATATTCTCACATTATCAAGTCCGATGAAACTCTTATAAGTTGTTTTTGTTGTAGTAAAAGAGATCTGTGAACAGAAACATAATTTCAAAATGATTATCATTGTTTGTAGTGATCAGAATAGTAATCGGTACCGTAATATGGGGTATTAAGTTAAGTCCTCGAACCAAGTGGACGTCTTAGTGAGATTGCAAGGTTACTACAATTCCTTGTATTTTGTTTCTCTCCAGAAACTACTTGCTGGACACCAATGAAATTTCACATGCGTGTTTTGTGACGGACACTAGTTTTGCAACGTGCACATCTTGTGACGTAATTCAAAATGTCATTTTCTGACTTCTGATTGCTTATATCTTTTAGCCTGTGACTTTTTTATATTCAGTGAAAGGAGATGAGGTTTAATGGATTAGTGAAAGTGACACTTGTGAGACATGCTTCAAGATGACGTAGTAAGAAATTACATTGTCAGCAAAATGGTCGCCAATAGAGAGTGTACGATTGGTTGGAATTCGTACAGTTTTGGCTTGCTTTGTAGGTATTGGATGACATCAAGAACACAGTGGTAAGTCCGTCTTTGTATTTAACAAAATAGACGCAAAGAAGAGATTTCTAATTTAAAGGTTACTCTAACACTACGAACTCTCGCGTTATCACAGTAATGAGGCGACTAATGTGGTGAAACTCGGATTTTTATTCCGTTTGCGAGATTGTTTGAGGGATTAAAGTAGCTGTCTCCATTAGAATCAAAACTCGTTGATATAAAAAAAAGTTGAAGGTCATCTTATGCATTGTAAATGATGTCTGAGGTCTCTACCCTGTAAACGATGAGACAAAAACGAGGGTTGTGTTGACACCTACCTATATATATTGTTGAATGTATGACATTGCATATCAATCAGTTATATGTTTTGTTAATATTTTTTTTTTTTTTTTTTTTATTGTTTGTTTGTTTGGGTTTTTAATGGTTTTAATAATTCTTGAAACAGTCCAGTTATACAGAACAATACGATTGGTCTAGTTCCGAAACATAGACATATATTTATACTCGTAAACATGTTTGAAAATTAGTTTGCTTCCTCAATAATAAAAATAGTAACAAATAGTAACATTGTAGCATGAATTAAACATTAACCTATTGACTCACCTTACTCGGACCTGAGCTCCTAAAAGCGAATACTGCTGTATCCCAACTGTCTCTAGACTTGTTCGTTGTGTTCCACATCATTAAATTATCATCCTCTATATTGCCAACTACGAGGAGATCTGACTGCAGTCCGGATATGAAATAAGAGAATTGTACACAGATGTCACCTTCCGGTACTGATGTACTGAGGCTGGCTGTTACAGGGTCGCTCCTATCTCCATATCTGAAGTTTTTTCTTGCATATGTCCCTTAAAAATATAACACGTATTATTTTCTGTGTAAAAGAGCATTAACCTTTAATTCATAGTATTGCAACAAATTTGGATAATATGATGTCAAGCACTACCTATTTCTGAACGACATGCTTCATTTCCCGTTAGTTTGGTAACTAACCTTTAGATTTGGTCACGTTTATGAATAGTATTGTAAAATTGATAACCAACCAGTGATTGACACACACGCGTTGTTTCAGTCACCTTCAATCCTCAGCAGGAAAATTTTAAAGATGGTACAAAATAATAGATATTTAGAATAAGAGAAAGAAGTGCAAAATACTACCAAATACTGAATTCAACCATATCGTACAGCTGTTTCGTCTTTGTTGGACTTCTTAAATACTATAGATACTACGAGTCTACGCTTGGAGGCGACTGAGAGGAAAATCCGGATCGAAGGAAACATTGAGATCTTCATCGGTAGGTGCATTAACCCCATAATTACATAAATTTCGTAATTTGCCATATATTTGATAATTTCCTTAGAGGGTCGTTTTACATTTTAGCCTTTTCATGCTTACCGTTAGGTGAAGCTTTTATATTCCCGAACAGATTCGTATATACGCCAGTTGTCGACTGCCATGGGTTTGGTCCATCAGTGTATGTATAATTACACAAATCGACATCAAAATCACAACTGTTCGGTAACAACTGCTTATTCCCAGTTCTACAAAAGTCCTCAGCATTCAAGATCTCAGAAATATTATTTCCTTTCGATAGTGTGATGACAGGTGTCACGGCTGACTCAGTAGCTGTTGGTGACGAGGTTGTTGATGGTGACGAGGTTGTTGGTGATGACGAGATAGTTGATGGTGACGAGGTTGTTGGTGATGACGAGTTTGTTGTTGGAGACATGGACTTGGAAACAGCAGTTGTTGCTTTGTTAGCCGTTGACAAATTGACAGGACTTTGTGAGGCCGTATTTTGTGTAAGCGGAGAACTATTTATTGAACTGGTGATTGCTGCTGGATTTAAAGTTGAAGTGGGAAAGACAACTTGCCAAATCCTTACATTGTCAATGCCGATGATGTTTCCATATCGCGTTTTAGCTGACGTGAAAGAAAGCTGTGAAAAATAGTAAAATTATCGAATACCCTAACAATGCTGTTGATTGTATTAACATTGATACATAAAAAAGTTAATCAACTGCCAAAAATTCATATCTAAAAGTACGAAGTTTGAGTACTGTGTTAGAAAACTGGAAAACTAACATGGAATGATAGCATAAAGCACAACTGTTAAAAAACATACTTTTATGGTTATTGTGTCAGTTCATTGTTTAAAAATGTTCATATTAATATTCGTTTTACTTATTAATTAATTTATCAATTTCAATAATTATCATCATTATTTCTGATTGAATTTAGAAATATAATTGTCAGATTAGTATCACTAACCTTAAATGACCCTGGACTGTTAACTCCAACTAAAGCTGACTTCCAGATCTTAGTCTGTGCGCCTGTTGTATTCAAAATCTCCAGACTGTCAGACTGTCTCGAAACTACTACTCTCACGTTGGATGAATCGGATGCCAAGAAGTACAGAAAAGCAACACATATCTTTCCAGGTGGTAAGTCAATGCTCAAAGACGAAGGAACCGAGAGTCCAAACTGCTTACTAGCGTAGCTCCCTATGATAAAATAACAATAAAAACTAGATTCTTTAGATATCATTTAGTCCACTTCACTCAAACCCAGGTTGTCAACAAGAGAGAAGACACTACAAATAGCAGTTATAGTGACCAGGAACTCTTTAGAAATGAAGGCGCATTAAGCAAGCACGTATGGTCTGTGAATGTGGCGGATACTGACAGGAAAAAATTCTAGCAATGTAATTCAAGCCGATTGTCTCTGATTAAAGGGTTGTAAACCCGAACCAAGAAGTGGTGAATGTTCGACAAATTATCATTTAATCTGGTTTGAAATAAGTCGTTTTAACTTAACTGTCCTACTGTATTAGGTATTCGTTCTTAATAAGAATATTTGTCAAAGTTTTTTAAAACATTATTGCTACACTTTGTGCTTTGCCATCTAAATATCGCGAAATATTATTGAGAATTATCCTTTTTACCTCGCGCGTAGATTCCAAGGGAAATAACTCTGCAATTGGTATCTCCTAGATATGCCCCAGAGATATGTTGAAGTTAATCCGCTTTTTTCCCTATTGCTTGCAAGTCTTTAAACTATGAGTTTAAACTGCGTCAGTTTACATTATTTATATGTACTATTTTTTCATCTCTATATCATATATATATATACAAATGCTCTAGCGTTTACAGGGTGTTACAGCTGCATATGGACCATTTAAACCACAGGTCGTGGAATTGAAACCAATATAGCTCTAAAGCTATAGTTTTGTTTTGTTTTTTTGAAGTCGGAACTTTATTTTTTTTTCTAAAGTTCACGACTGTAACACCCTGTAAACACTAGTGCATTTGTTTGTGTCACGCTCCACAGCACCATATCAGCCACCCGAGGTAACAGCCAAAATCATGCCTTAGTAGTAACCTCCAATATCACCTCTCTTTCGGCACTATATGACCAAAATTACCTACCACTTTTCATTTCAGGTGTACTTCTATGTCGATATGAAAGTCGCATAAAGGCTTGACCAGAAACATTATGGCTGATGGCATATTATCTAATGCGTTATGTTGCACCACATGTTTTATCAAATCGGCAAATAATCAATGTTTATGTTGATGAGTTATCTCCCTTTATTTAGTGAGAATTTTATTTAAGAACTTGTTTTCTGTATGGTAATGTGTTAAAGAGAATACGT